TGGATTTTCTGCTTGTATGTATTTATATTTGTTTTAATTCCGCAAAATGAAAGTTAGTGAGTAACGTTTTGGCGAGGGAGCTGTTATGTTTACCACTGTCAAAGTTGTTCATATCTCCATGATATTGTTTCAGGTAAGGAAGAAGGAAGAGGAAGTTAAATCCGATGGTCCACGTCTCAATGAGAAGATTACTGCCGAGACTGTCAGATTGGTTTCCGAGGAAGGTAATTCTTGTTTCATTTTTTCCCTCTCTTTTTATGTATCAGATAAAGAAACGGCGAAAGAAGAAATATACGCATACATGCTTTTGTTAGTACGTTCCGTTTTGGTGAAGTATCTTTAGATGGAGTCAGTTAAACGTCCCTTGTTCTTATAGTTTTTACTAAAGAAGCGGGTGTCATCTGCGCAATGAATGGAATTTAGGGGATTTTGATAACCAGGAACGTGTGATATGGTTTTGTCGTTATGCAGGACACTGCGTTGTATCCCTGAAGGAAGCCCTCAGACGGGCTAAGGAGCTCGAGTGTGACTTAGTTGAGGTAACTTGTTAATTGAAACATTTGTTCTTCTAGAAATTGCTCCTGAGGTTTATCTCTTTATATATATCTAAATCTGTTTTGTTTCTTTTTGTTGTCTTGTAGGTCCAGAGAGATGCTAAGCCACCAGTGTGTAAAATTGTAGACTACTCGCAGGAGAAGTACAAAAAAGCTAAAGTAGGAAAGGAGTGTGCTAAGGCCAAGGTGTGCAATATGGCCTATTCATACTTAAAAGTCTCCATCTTGTTTGTTCAAATTATAACTTGTATTTGTGTCCTGAGTTTATGGTTTTACCTTGTTCTAGCGGGCTGAGACAACCATTCGACCTGAGGTCAAGGAAATTCGATTTACCCCAAAAATTGTATGTTTCCCTCTCTGTTTCTTCTTCTCATCTGTGGGGTAATAAAAAACAGTACAACGACATTTTTGTTTCACTTTATTTCCTCTTCAGGATGCAAAGGACCTACAGTTTAAAGCGAAACAAGCATTGGAAACTGATGGAAAGTGGATATCGTGTGAAGGTAGTAATTTTCTTGGTTACTGAACCTCTTCATGATTGCTGTTTTTTTCGTGGACTTTTCTTGGAAACTCTGATTATTTTGCGAGTGTGTGTATATTCATGTTAAAAAAAACATGGTTGTTCCATGATGCTGCGCCGCAATGCTGTTTTTTTCTTGGTTGGTTTGAGGTGACAAAAAGAAAAATCCTTAATGAATAACTTTCCATTTCTCTCTTCCTTTCTTCTCTGTTTTGTGTAACAGTGTCATGCAGTTCCTGATAAGGACAAAAAGAAGGAACTTGAACCAGAGAAGCTGCTTGATTTATTATCTCGCTTCACTTGCTATGTAAGTCCCTACATTATGGCCTTTGGCTCCTATTCGCATTGTTGTCTAGTTTTCTTGTCTTTGGTTTGGTTTAAATCCTTGGCTTCATATAGATAACATCCATCCTTATCATAATTATATCGTTACAGATCGAAGATGCACTTGTGGAATTCGGGCCAACAGCTGATAAAGGTAACGCCGTTGCGGTGGTTAGACATGCCAAGTTTGGCCCACCCAAGAAAGGAAAGGCGATAAAACTGAAGGAAATGAACATAAAGACTGCAGCCCAAATAAAATATGAGTCACCAAAGCCTGACAGCTCGGAAGATGGAGGAGGGTCTATTGTTGATGATCTGGAAAATATAGAGACGCCCGAACCTGAGTTCGGTGCTAAGCAGGCCCAACCAGTTCAAGTGCAGAATAAGTATGCAAATAGAGAACCGAGCAGTGACTTCTTGGGAGGTAGAGATGCAAACCGGTTTGAACCTCGGTCTCCAAACCAGCCTGTAAACCCACAACGTCCTCGGTTCCAAAACCAAGCTCCAAATGAACAACCTACTGGACGGTTCGATCCTCGGTCTCCAAATCAGCCTCCAAGTACACCACGGCCGAGGTTCCCAAACCAAGCTCCAAATCAGTTCGGTCCTCAATCTCCAAACCAGCCTCCAAGTCCCCCACGGCATGGGTTCCCAAACCAACCATCTACTGGGAGGTTCGATCCTCAGTCTCTAATCCAGCCTCCGAGTCCACCACGGCCTCGGTTCCCATACCAAGCTCCAAATCAACAACCCTCAGGGCCATCTCCAAACCGCCACCTAGACCGGCAAGGTCCTCCACCTAGATTCCAAAACCAAGCTCCAAATGAACAACCTACAGGTCGATTTGTACCTCAGCCACCAAACCCTCCTCCCCGTGCTCCACCACGTCCACCAACCCGGTTACCAAACGAAACTCCAAACCAACAACCTACGGGGCCGGTTTCAAGCTATGGAATTTTCAGCACCCCAAAAACGAAGTAGAAACAACCGATTTATAAGACTTGCAATTTTTGTGATGCTTCTCTTAGGACTCATAACAATTAGTCCATGCATACACACTTGTAACCCTCACCAATTTTGTTTGGTCACAAACTCAATAATATTTTGGGAAATTACGCCTTATATGAGTTTTATTAGACATAATTTATTATCTAACACTAGATTAAATTTAATTAGGTATTTATCATTTTTACCACTTAACATTCCATTTTTAGCCTTATAGTGGTGATAAGGACAAAATCACCAAGTTATGTACCCTTAG